AAAAATAGAAAGAAATTAATTGGACAACTAAAAAATATATAGAAAAAATTAGCCGGGCATGGTGGTGCATGTCTGTAGTCCCAGCTACTCGGGAGACTGAGGCAGAAGGATTGCTTAAGCCCAGGAGTTTGAGGTTGCTGTGAGCTAGGATGACGCCACGGCACTCTAGCCCGAGCAACACAGTGAGACTCTGTCTCAAAAAAAAAAAAAATACTTGAGTGTATATTTCCTAAAAACAAGGATGTTCTCTTACATAACTACAGTACTCTGATCAAAATCAAGCAATTATGATTCCTACAATACTATTATCTCATCTACAGACCTTATTCAGATTTACTGAATGTCCCAATAATGTCCTTTATGGCAGAAATAAGTCCAGGTTGTTCATTACATTCAGGTACCCTATCTCTTCAGTCTCTTTTAATCTGGAATAACATCCTGGTCCATCTTTATCTTTTGTGATGATTGCATTTTTGAAGAGTATAGGTCAGTTACTTTGTAGCATGTCTCTCAGTTTGGATTTGTTCAATGTTTCCTTATGATTTGATTCATGTTATATATGATTAAATTTTGTTGAATTAGTGACTAACATAAAAATTCAGTGTATATAACAATTGAAATGTCTAGCTTTTCTAAAAAAATCAGGTCTGGCCTGTTGGGCCTGAAAGAACCCACATCCTCATTTTTCATGTACTCATTTCTCATTATTTGCTAAAACTGTAAGAGCTGTTTAATGTCTATTACTTTTATTGAAACTTGGAATCAAAGGTTCTCTTATTTGGGTAATAAGAGCAGTCTGAGCCTTTGTTCTACATCAGAGGTTCTCAAACTAGGTGCATATGAGAATCACCTGGAAGACTTTTAGGCTATCCATACTATGCTAAGGGACTTGGACCCAGAATATGTAAAGAACTCTTGTAACAATAAAGAGACAAATAATCCAATAAAATGTGGGCAAAGGATTTGAATAGACATTTCTCAGCCAATAAACACATGAAAAGATGTTCAGCATTAAGGAGATGCAAATCAAAACCACACTGAGATACCACTTTACTTCTGTCAGGATGATTATAATAAAAAAGAAAGGCAATAATAAGTGTTGGCAAGGATGTAGAGAAATTGAAACCCTCATACATTGCTGGTGGGAGTATAAAATGGTACAGCCATTTTGGAAAACAGTCTGCCATTTCCTCCAAAAGTTAAACATAGAGTACCATTTGACCCAGCAATTCCATGCCTAGATTTGAAAACGTATCCACACAAAGACTTGCGCACAAATGTTCACAGCAGCATTATTAATAATATCCAAAAAGTAGAAACAGCCCAAATGTTCATTTACTAATAAATGAACAAAATGTGGTGCATCCATACAATGGAATATTATTAGGAAATAAAAGAGAAGGAAGCACACTGATACACACTACAACATATTTGAACCTTGAAGACATTCTAAGGAAAACAAGCCAGACATGAAGACCACATATTGTATGAGCACATTCATATGAAAGCCTTAAATAGGCAAGTCCATAGAGACAGAAAGTAGATTAGTGTCTGGAGGGAGAGGGGAATGGGAAGTGACCAGTATGGATATGGGATTTCTTTGGGGGTGGAGGAGATGAAAATAAATTAGATAGTGATGATGAGTATACAACATTGTGAATATACTAAAAACCACTGAATTGTATACTTTTTAAAGGGTTATTTTTATAATAGGTGAATTATATCAATTTTTAAAAAATCCTGATGCTAGGAAGAGCACTCAGGCCAATTAAATCAATCTCTTGGGGTGGGACACAATCTGGATTTTTTAAAACTTCCCCAGATGATTCCAATATGCAGTGTAGGTGATGAACCACTTATCTACATGATGGTAAAACACATCTGGTGAAGAATGAGATGAATTTAGAGACATATGGGCATTAGTTTCTGAAGGTGAGAACTGCCCTTAAAAATTAGATTCTGAGGTACTACATTGAAAGGATTTTATTTTTATTTTATTTTATTTTTTAGAATTTTATTTTTTCATATTTAAGTTTTTGCACTGTCCTTTAAGGACTTGCTTTCACATATTCTCGTTTGGACATTAGCTTCAGGCTAACGATTAAGGAAGGCTCAGGAAGTATTGGGCCCAACAGCACCATTTGGGAAAACTATGTCTCGACACAGCTAGATAAAAACTACTGAGAAGTAAAATGATTCCTACAGACCCTAATAAGGACCTTTAATGACCAAACTGTACCCATCCAGTTTAATCAGGTCTTTTTTTTTAGAAGGCTTTTAAGTGTTTGGTTTCAAGGTGGTAGTTTCGCCCCAAATCACTTGTGTTAGTGCTTGTGGAGAAGCTGTGGTGACCTCTTCCCCCATATGTTTCACACTTCCTGTGTGTGTGAGCAAACATAGGTGCAAAGCTGCAGGCTGAAAACTGCAGTCCCACCCCTGCAAGGATCCTCTGGTGTCTCAAAACAGACAGGAGTCCAGCCTGATCTCCTCCCAGAGGCCAGGCTGCCTCAGGCATCAGAGGCTTTGTGTGCTGTGGAGATGAGTCCATGGACCTCGATCTTAATATAAAAGGGCAGAAACGGGACTTGTGAGCTGGGATCTGGGAGGAGACCTCAAGTCTGCATTGGGCCATGTCTGATGTCTGAAGCCTTTTGGGGTTCAAGATCAATGCTGTTACTACCCTCCCACCTGCCTCCCTGGGGAGCCCTTTAGAAGCTCATTCTGGCTCAGGAGGGCTGATTATTAAATCCTCAGGAACTTTGCCAGCTGCTTGTTAAACACAGTGATTATTAAAAATTAAATTATATAAACTTACAGTGTAATAAATTATATTAAAACAAAATTGATAAACACTCAAGATTCATCACTTCCAATTATTTTACTATTTTTTAAATTTCAAAATATTAAGGGGGTACAAATGTTTTTGTTACATGAATACCTTGTATAATGCTTAAGTCAGGGCTTTTAATGTGTCCATCACCAGAATAGCATTCATTGTACTTTATAGGTAAGTTTTTACTCCTCACCCTTTCCCACCCTCCCCCAACTCTTGGTTTCCAATGAGCTTTATATCTCTTTGTGCCCATGTGTGCCCATTGTTTCACTCCCATTTATTAAGTGAGAACATGTGGTATTTGTTCTTCCATTCCTGAGATACTTTACTTAGGATAACAATCTTCAGTTCCATCGAAGTTGCTGCAAAAGACATTATTTCATTCCTTTTTGTGGTTGAGTAATATATAAATATACCAAATTTTCTTAATCCACTCATGAATTGATGGGCACTTAGGTTGATTCCACATCTTTGCAATTGTGAATTGTGCTGCAGTAAACATTTGGGTGCAGGTATCTTTTTGATAAAATGACTTCTTTTCCTTTGGATAGATACCTAGTAGTGGAATTGCTGGGTTGAATGGTAAGTCTACATTTATTTCTTTGAGGAATCTCCATACTGTTTTCCATAGAGGTTGTACTAATTTGCAGTTCCACCAACAGTGTATAAGCGTTCCTATCTCTTTCCATCTATGTCAGCATCTGTTGGTTTTTGACCTTTTAATAATAGCCATTCTGACAGGAGTAAGGTGGTCAAAACCTCATTGTGGTTTTAATTTGAATTGCATGATATTAGTGATGTTCAGCATTTTTCATATGTCTATTGGCCATTTGTCTATCTTCTTTTGAAAAACTTCTGTTCATATCTTTTGCCCACTTTTTACTGGGGTTGTTTGTTTTTTCTCACTGATTTGTTTGAATTCTTCATAGATTTGGGATATTAGTCCTTTATTGGATGTATAGTTTGTGAATATTTTCTCCCATTCTGTAAGTTGTCTATTTACTCTGGTTATTATTTTCTTTGCTGTACAGAAGCTTTTAAATTTAATTAAGTCCCATTTGTTTATTTTTGTTGTTGCTGTATTTGACTTTGGGATCTTAGTCATAAATTCTTTACCTAGGCCAATATCTAGAAGAGTTTTTCCTATATTTTCTTCTAGAATTTTCATGGTTTCATGCCTCACATTTAAGCCCTTTATCCATCTTGAACTAATTTTTATATACGGTGAGAGATAGGGGTCCTGTTTCATTCTTCTGTCTGTGGCTATTGAGTTTTCCCAGCACCATTTACTGAATAGGGCTTCCTTACCCAGTCTATGTTGTTGTCTGCTTTGTCAAAGATCAGTTGTCTATAGATCGGTGGTTTTATTTCTGGGTTCTCTACTCTGTTCCATTGGTCTATGTCTCTACTTTTATACAGGCAC